AGGACGCCGAGGTGGGAGGATCACTTCAGCACAGGAGTTCCAGGCTGCAGTGAGCTATGATCACACCACTGTACTCCAGTCTAGCCAACAGAGCAAGACCCTGTCTCAAAACAAACAAACAAAAAAATAAAATAAGACAAACAATATTCAATGCAAATTGAAACCAAAAGAAAGCTGATGTAGCAGTTTTCATATCAGATAACATAGACTTCAAATCAACAAAAATAAAGAAAAATAATGATGGTCATTATATAATGGTAAAGGAAACAATTCAACAAGAAGACATAACAATTCTAAATATTTACACATCTAACACAGATGCATGGAGATTCATAAAGCAACTCCTGCTTGATCTAAACAAAATGATAAACAGCAGTACCTAATAGCCAGGTGCTTCAACACCCCTCTGACAGAACAGGTCAGATCCTCCAAACAAAATAAACAAAGAAACAATGGACGAAACAGAACTCTAAAACAAATGGGGCTAACAGACATTTACAAAACATTCTACTCAAAACCCACTGAATATACATTCTTCTCATCAGTTCATGGAACATTCTCTAAGGTTGATGACATCCTAGGCCACAAAACATGTCTTGAACAATTTTAAAAAATAGAAATTATACCATGTATCTTCTCAGATCACAGTGGAATAAAATCAGATGTTGGCTCCAACAGAAACATTCATCTCTACACAAAATGATGGAAACTAAACAACCCACTGCTCAAAGATAGTTAGGTCAAGGAGAAAATTAAGATGGAAATCAAAAGATTCTTTCAATGAAGTTATAAAGGGGACACAAGTTATCAACATCTGTGGGCTATAGCTAAAGCAGTTCTGAGAGGAAACTCATAGCCGTGAATGCCTACATCCAAAAGACAGAAAGATCACAAATCAACAATTCAATGAATCATCTCGAGGAACTGGAAAAAGATAAGCAAACCAATCCCAAACCCAGCAGAAAAAAAGAAATAACCTAGATCATAGCACAACTAAATGAAATTGATAACAACAGAATTATACAGAAGATTAGTGAAACTAAAAGTTGGTTTTTTGAA